GTTTCTGTCGCAGTCAATAGTGTTTAATAGTGAGGTCCCGTAGCTGGCGCCGCGAGTCCAGCTCCAGCTGGGCCAGGTTTCACGTGGGAGCCAGCATGCTTTGAGAAGCTCTTCCTTGCTCTGCTGCAGGACCATCCAATCCTGCATCCACACCTCCGAAGCACGGAGCTCGAGAACGACACGACAGACGCTCAGGACAGTTTACTTCATGTTAGGTCTCAAGACTGCATATTTTTTGTAGGAGCCGCTGCATCTTCGGGGAATGCCGGAGGCAACGTGCCTTCCCACGACGAGCATGGTGCCTGGTTTGATAATCCGCTTTTTGTTTGTAAAGGTTGAAGTATTCTTCGTGCAAGCCTTTTTAATTTTCAGTCAAGGAAACCCTCTGAGCAAGAGGGCCAAGGCAAGGGCCGCCGGCATCTTCAAGCCCCGCGGGGGGAAGAACTGACGTCAGCCACAGCGCACGCGCTTGCAGTCAGTAAAACAGATTGGAGCAGCACAGGGCGCGGTTCAGGTCTGGACTTCTGACTTGCGCGTTCGGACTAAGGGTTAAGGGTTAGGGTTCGGGTCAGGAGGGTTTCTTATGCATCACTACTACTCTGCAATTATGAACAAATGGGGTTGCAATGGCGCCGCGCTTTTCCCAATCATTTAGTGTTTTGGCCTGGCGCGCGCCACAGTAGTATGCGTTTCAGGAATTCCTTGCTGGGAGGCTACACTCACAGGGGCTTCGCGCCAAAAACCTGGTAGGCATCAGGCATGCACTTGCGAGAACCCTAAACCCTAAACCCTAAAGCGATAGGCTAAGGCTTGTAGTCGTAAGTCTACAAGCAGGGCTCAGGTCTGGAATGCACTATCTTGAAACTTGAGTTCAAGGGCTAGAAAAATCCGCCCCTATCTTTCAACTTCAGATGACCCCAGTGGCGCGCGACAGGAGGGTGTTCGCGCCGGGGTTTAGGGTTTAGGGTTTGGCCTTTAGGGTTTAGGGTTTAAGGTTCTTGACATCTAGGCCCGAAACCCTGGACCCCAAACCCTAAAGTTTAAACTCCAAACCCTAAACCCTAAGAGTCGGGCAAAGTTCGAGCGCTGGAACTTTACTTTTGGAAGGTTATGGGCTAGATTCGCAAGAGGCCAGAGGCAGGCCCGGTCTAGTTTAGAGCCTGTTCTGGTCAAATTTGACTTAAAATCCACCCAGGCCCTGTCTAGTTTTGGTTCTCTTTCGGTCAAACGTGACTAAAACTCCACGGAGGGCGGGTCTGGTTTCGAACCGGTTTGGGTCAAATTTGACCGAAAGTGAACCCTGGTCGGGTCTACTTTGGGCTCGGTTTGGGTCAAATTTAACCGAAAGTCGACCCAGAGAGGGTCAAGTTTGGGCTCGGTTTGGGTCAACTTTCGGTACACTTTCCCGTAGGGAACCTCAAAGTAAACCCAAACTTGGTCGAAACTTGCTCTAACACTGAAACGGGACTGAAACCGAACCGAAAAGAAGCCCAAAGCACACCCAAACTAAACCCACCCCGCCCGAAACTTGACCCAAACTAGACCCTGGGCCGGTTCACTTTCGGTCACATTTGACCGAAAACGCACCCAAACTCGACCCTACGTGGGTTCACTTTTGGTCAAATTTAGCCCAAAGTAAGCCGAAACTAAACCATTCAGTTTCCACGCCTGTTGTGTTTTCTTGAACTTCGAGATATTTTTCGGGATTGGCGCGGGAAAATGAAAAGGGGAATCCAGGCAAAAGACTAGCTGCGGCTGTTTTGGATTATAGATTTTCTTAGTTGCGCAGCCATGGCTCTGGTAGGCGGCGCGCGGCAGGCCAGCAGCCATGCGCCGCGGCGGCGTCAGACAGCGACTGGCGCGCCATGCTGCGCAGTCCACCGATGCGGTGACGAGTTTGGAGCCGGACAGTGAGTTAGCGCTTCTTCTTCTACGTCGCTGGGCTTGGGGCCACCTTTCTTTACCGCAGCTCCAGTCCACGGCAGCCGCTGCGGAACGTGACTTTGCCGCGGCTGGAGCCCAGGCACCTGCAGCTCTGGCCATGATGGCTGCGCTGGGCACTCGCGGAGAGCATCCAAACAACATGCTTTTCCCCAGCACAGAAGCAACATTTTCTACTTTAGTCTGTTTCTTGCGCATGGCGCCCGGCGTGCTTATGTGTATCCCAGGTTTCGGGACATCATGCGTGCCATCCAGCCCGCCCGATTCCGATTGGACGCGGTCAACATGTCTCAGGGACCTGCACTAGTCTGCCTGTGGCCTCACGCATTTTGTTAGCAATAACAAGTTTCTTTAGGACGGTGATAGAAGCCTGTGAGTTGGACGCCTGAGAATCCATGGCTTATGACAAGGAATGGTTTGCCGCGCTTCATACGAGCTATCCTCGCGCTTGGACGAAGTATTGTCTGGTTTCCGAGCAGAAGCTGGCAGCGTTCTGGCGCGCCAACAGAGCGGGTAGCGGCAGTCCTTTCACTTCAGGCTTGGAGCTGCCGGAGGATCTAAGCAGATGCATACCGTTGGCTTTTCATGGTGACGGTGTTCAAGTAACAGGCCTCGGCAAAACCTGGGCTGATGGCGTAGACTGCTGGAGTATGCAGTCGCTGCTGTGCCAGGAAGAGTCAGGCCTCTCGAATGCCATCGTCACGATGGTGCCATATCATCTGATGAAGGACAACAAGGACAACCTCTTCGCTTGCCTGCAGTGGTCCTTGCAGTCGCTTCGAGATGGTCGCTGGCCGAGCAGAAACAAGGATGGCCGGCCCTTTCAGCCGCATTCCCTTGACGCCAAGAGAGCTGGGCTGCCGTTGGCTAATGGTTGGCGGGGAATCGCCCTGGGCCTGCGGGGAGATCTTGACTTCATAGTAAAGTCTCTTGACGGCCCAAACTACGGAAGCGGCGAGCCATGCAGTCTTTGTGCAGCCACGGCTGAGAACTGGAATGATCTGCGCGTCACGGCTCCATGGCGACAGCAGAGTCGAACGTTCCAGTCCACGTGCAGGCTTTTTGAAGATGTAGGCCTGAACCTGGGCCGCCTGCTGCCAGACTGGATGCACAGCAAGCACCTCGGCTCCGACGCCTACTTGGCCGGGTCGGTTCTGACTCTGCTAGTCTACGAGCTCATGTGCCCTGCCTTATCATTGTGGGCGCAGCATGAATGTAAACAACACTCCTGTCACTCCGGTACCCAGGCCGGAAGCCAATGCCGCAGCGAACTGCGCAACGCTGCTGCCGCTTCTGCGTGAGGCAGCCTCGATGCAGACCATCAACAATCTGAAGCCGCCGCGCGACGTATACCGAAGCCGCCTCCTAGTGGTTGGGTTTTTCTGTTTGTAGTTGGCAGGCCGCCTCGTACCATCACGTACGAGTCTAGCGGCATCGTTTTTATTTTTAATTTTGGGTTTGAATCAGGTCCATGTTCCTGAATGGCCGCGAACCGTACTTGCACTTTCCCAAGTTGAAGGCCAAGGCCGCCGAGACCAAGCATCTCATACCGGCCCTGGCGACTGTGTGGCTTCAGTTCATGGACAACGACTCCGAGGCACCCTTAAACCAAAACCCTTTATACCCAAACTCCTCCTTAATCCATGCAGGTGCACCTGCAGGTGCTTCTTGCGCTACAGACCAGCGCGACCATGGATGAGCTCTTGTACGAGACGGATGCGCTCTGCTTGGCTGCAGAGGACGCACAGCGGCTACGGCAGCTTTTCCTGCAGCACAGCGCCCTCATCAGCGCCTTGCAGCGACACTTCGTCACGAACGAAGGGAGGCTTTTGTTTAATGTCACTTTCAAGCTTCACTGGCTTGATCACGCGGTTAGCCGCGGCTGCTTCATCTCCCCGCGCAGCTCGCCTGAAAGTGGTTCTGAAATGTCCTGTTCATGTTTGGAGACATGCTCCGCCCGCCTGCTAAGGCATAGGGCAAGTCTACGCGCAGGAAGATCTCATGGGCAAGGTTCGCAGCCTCCTGGCGGTATGTGCACGAGCTCGACGACCCACTGCTTCAGTTGCAAAGCGCATGCAGAAGTACGTGCGTGCACTGCACTTGGAGTTCCGCTGACCGCGTGAAAAATGTCTTCAAGAAATTGTCAGAACCTCTGCACAGGTAGTGTTGTTTGTGAGCGCGCGCTGAAAGTGGTTGGCGCAGCGTCCCTTGGACAGGCTCACCCGCAGCTCCTTGGCTTCAGCGGTTGCTCGTCAGACGACCAGCCACGCCTTGCAGCCCGAAGCATGGCTGCCTCTGTGCCTGAGACCCAGGTCGACCTTGCGGAGCACCTCGACGAGGACCTCCAGCTGGCGGCAGCCGACTCAGCCGACGTCCCGGACGAGCCGGCCGCAAAGGACGCCTTGGAGAACACTCGCCAGGACGCCGCGGACGCGCCCGAGCAAGCAACCGCTGCGGAGAAGAAGAAGGGCCTCACGGCCAAGGAGAAGCAGAAGCAGACTTTGGCGAAGGCCAAAGCGAAGTCGAAGGCTAAGGCCCAAGCCAAAGCCAAAGCTGTCCTTGAGGACTCCTTCAAGAAGGGCAGTGGCAAAGCCAAGAAGGCCGCTGAGCCCAAGAAGGGCGCTGAACCCAAGAAGGGCAAGGGCGGCAAGAAGACGCAGCCTGCTGACGCTGTGGAGACTGAGGAGACGGAGACGCAGCCTCCTTCCGCCGAGAAGGCCGCGCCGGTCAAGAAGCCGCCAGCCTCGAAGACTTCGAAGCCGAGCGAGGACAAGAAGCAGTCTGACTCGAACAAGCCGAAGAAGGGCAAGGCCTGGCCAACATCATTTTCCATAGGATCTTGTAAGTCGTACCTAGCCTACGCAACCTCATTTTTCGCAGGCTTAGGGTTTAGGGTTTAGCTTCGTGAACATCTTGAGCCTCGAAACCCAGGCAGCTAACGCGCCGCCCGGGGAGGAGAAGCCAAAGAAGCCTACGCTGAAGGAGCAAGCGGAGGCCCTGGCACTCTTCGCCGAGCAGGAGGACCCGGTCGCGCAGGAGGACGACAAGCAGGACGAGGACGGCAGCGACGAGGACCAGCAGGAGAAGCGCGACCCGGCAGCCTCGCGCTTCTTGAAGAAGCAGCGAGCGGCTGGCAAGCTTCCGCAGTCCTTGCTGGCCCTGTGGGACAGAAGCAACAGAGCGGAGAAGACCAAGCTCTGCAACAGCCTCGTCAAGCGCGCCGGCAAAACCTTCACACTGGACCTCGGCAACAACTACGTTCAGGAGGAGCTGGCCAAGTACGAGAAGACCGAAGGTGACCCNNCTAGCTTTAAATTCCAAGACCCGCAAGTGCCAACGCAAGACTACATAAGGTGTGGACGCTCGCTTGGGCTGCACTGAGTCCGTGGCCGCCACGAAGGTTGGAGGCCGCCCAGTAGCCACTTCCGTGAATTCCCAGACGCGTTGCTTGTTTGGCAGGCAGAGACGCGCTGAAGGCTGCTGTGCAGACGGGAGAGGTGTCTGTCGTGGAGCAGGGCAACACGAAGTACTACGTCTTCAAGGCCTGCAGTGATTTTTGCTCGCGCGAGCGTCGCTCGCAGCGTTGCATCTCCCTCCTGGCAGGAGATCTCGGTGACCCACG